ACAAGTGCCTTACTAGTAGTAACAAGAAGCTACTAGTAACAAGTGCAACGCTAGTAGTAACAAGTGCCTTACTAGTAGTAACAAGAAGCTATTACAAACAGGGGCAGTTTCCACTTTCATGTCAGTGAGTCGGAGTGTAGTCCTTTTGGGTTGCTTTTGTGGCCATGCAGGAAGACAAAAGATGGGGAATGTTTATTGCAATTGCAAGGTCGAACATGCCTTTCAATGAGGTATACAGTGTATAATGTGTATAGTGTATACAGTATTGTAGTGCAATTTCTACCAGATCGATTTGAACTTTGGTCGGCCCTACAAACATGTCCGCAGGGCAACCACTCAGGGTCCTGAAGTCCAGTCGAGGACGATTGGTTCCAATGGCGCCGACTTTCCACCGCAGGTGCCCAAGCTCCATCGTTGGGTCGACGAGGCCACACGGAAGGACATCCTGGTGGCTTATCATCCGTACGGCTATGGTGGCTATGGTCTCAAGGCGCAAAAGGGTCAAAATGTTCGGTTATTGTTGGTCATTTGGAAGGTTCACGAGCATCAATTTCAAGCCTTTTCTTTCCAGCCCCTTCCACCTTCTTCAATGCAGAATAAAATTGTCGGGGAGACATTGTTAAACGTCACAGGAGCAAGTAGTAGTCAGGGTATGTCAGGGTGATTGTTGCAAATTCCAGGATTGTGCTGAAGCTCCCAATGGGATTGCATTGTGCACTGAGTTCCGGACTGACAACACTGGACCGCCAGCTGGTGTCTCGGAGGTGACAGGCATCCTGGATAGTGTGCGAAAGGAGTACCCCGGGGCTACTGTTCTGGCCTCAACATTTGATGCTTTTTTCGAGGATGTGCAGCCAGTGCGGCAGCAACTGCCAGTCATCAGCCTTGAGGTCGGAGATACGTGGGTGTATGGGAATCCTTCTGACCCCTTGAAGATGGCTCAATATCGTGCCATCCAACGCGCTTGGGTGAAGTGCATGCAGCACGAGCCTCGATGCCAAGCTTCGGACCCTGCGATTCAAAACATGACATTCTTTTTGCTGAAAGCGCCAGAGCACACCTGGGGCACTCCAGGAATCTCAGGCTGGGGATCTGGGGGTGACTACAATACCACCCGATTCCGCAAAGACATCAACAATCAGAGCTTCATGAAAGCCGCAGAGTCTTGGGCAGAGCAACGGCTCTTCAATGAGCTGGCGGTTCGATCCTTGGAGGAGTCATCCCATCCGTTGGGGCCTTTGGCGCGGGAAGAGCTCACGATGCTAGAAGAAGTCCAGGAGCCTTCACTCGAGCAGTTGCTGGAAGTCTCAGGTGAGCATCCAGGTATTTCACTGTTTCACATCTCTACAATCAGAACACTCATTCACTTTAAGAGGCATGGGGCATGAGTTTCAAAGCGATTTAGAGATCTCTGAACTCTGAACTATCCAGTGCTATCCAGGTTTCAACCCCAAAGCACGGTAAAAAAGACCGACCCCACTCCTGTGGACATTCAGGTGATGCCCTCATCACCTTCTCCAGTGGCACCCAGATGCAGCTGGGTGCCGATGGTAGCATCGTCTTGCTGCGTTTTCCCGGAGCTGAAGATTTGGCCTCAACCTCGGCACCTATGGCGAGCTTCAGCTACCAGACCTTCAATGATTCGGAGTGGCAACCCTTTACTTATGCATATCTCAACGACCACCAGATGCAAAGAGGATTCTGCAAACCAGGCTCCAACAACTTCACTGAGAGCGCAATTTGGAAACCTCAGCTAGAGAAACTCTTCGTTAGTGGCAGCAGCAGTGCAGCAAGCTTCATTTTGGCACAAATGCACTTGCCAGACAAGCCGCAGAAAGCTTATGGAGCTCCCTCCAAAATCTACCTGAAGATCACGGCGACCAGCAGTGCTGCAGATTTGACCTTCACCACCATTGGCAAGCAGCCAACAATGATAGGAGAATCCAGCTCAGTCTCCTTTGTACCAGCGGCACAGTTGCCGCTTCACGGCTCTGCTTGGAGGCTAATGAAGTTGGGTCAGGAGATTGACCCTGAAGGAGTTTTGGATGGCGGCAATCAGTTCACTCATGGTGTTTGGGGCGGTGCATCGGTAAGGACTTCGCATGGAGTCTTGAAATTGGATTCGCTGGATGCTATCAATATGAATCCAATCACTCCTGATTTTCCAGTTGGCAACCCGCTGCCAGCAAGCTATCAGGAATCTGTGGCAAGAGCTGGCAAAGGTTTGAGCAGATTGGCACCAGGGAGCATCAAAGGTATGGCCGTGAACCTCCACAACAACCTTTGGAATACCAACTACGCTTTGTTCTATCCATATTATGATGCCTGTCATCACATCCGGAGCGGACTGTCACCCGCTAAGTCAGGATTCTTTCAAAGTTGTTTAGGAGGCTGTTGGGCCGAGTCCGGATTTCCTTGTCATGTCTCTTTTTAGGCCGCATCCCAAGCTCTGTGTGCAAAGCTCAGGATGCGCGATTTTGCGAGAGCCCGCTGAACTGCAAGAACAGCAATGCAATATTCCGGTTCCATTTGGAGTACGAACCCAACGAGATCCACATTTGAGATTTGCTTCCAGCTTGGCCCAAAAGGTCCACTTGGGATCTTGAGCAACAAGCAAGACAGCAAGCCACTTTTTGTGCTTTCTGTGGTCAAAAAGTTGCCTGTTCCAGTGCCTTCTTACAGATCGTGGCTGATAGACTGCAGTCCAGTGGCCCTTTCATGAAGCTCGCTTTGGCTGGAAAGCCGAAAGGTTGAGGTGTTACACTGAGGGGCACATGTGGGATTCCAGAGAAAACTCTTCTAGGACTCCATATGTTTCCCGGTCCAAGATTTTAAGCCGGCATGGGCTGTAGTGTGCTGCAGTTCACCTGGGAGGCCTTGCAGCGCACAACACGATTCTTGTGTGCTGGGGAAGTCGCCGAGAAACCAAGTGAAATCGAGGAAGTTTGGGCCTAAGGCGGCCTAAGGTGAAAAGCAGGAATGGAGAATTGCAGAGTTGTATAGTTATATATGAGTATTCTACTATGAGGTTATTTAGTTGGGGGTTCTGGGGTGGTTTCAAATCCTGTGGGGAGAGATGAATCAATCTGGGCCAGAATCACAGCCTCAAAAAAGCCGTTTTTGAGAAGCTCGGTTGTATTCGGTTGTTGTACAATTGGAGGAGTGTAATGAGTCGGAGATTGCAGTGGCCACTCGATGGAACTAGTCTTGCCGTAGTTGAACAAGCGCGAAGGACCAGAAGGACCAAACCACGCTGAATGATCCGCAGTCATGACCAAGGCCGGGCTGGTGTTCAAGTCACCACAGTGGATTGGGAGGATTGTAGCCCACGATCCACTAGTTGCTTCTGACATGTTGGCATGTAGAATCTCTTAGCTGTGTCCTTTCAAAAGGCACTTTCCGAGACTGAGCAAAATCTGAGGCAGGTAAGTGGGGAAGGAATCATGATATCACCCTACACCTCCCAACGTCGTATAAATATATTGGTCGGAGTTTGCTATAAGTGCTCCACAGGAGAACACGCCAAGTCCAAGCTTAGTGGAGGTCAAGCAATTGTCATCATGCCAGCAACTCAACACGTCCAACAACCGTCGGAACTGCAAGTTATAGCGAGCATTTTCTTCCCCTGGCATGCCTTACTCGACATTGAACTTCTTGCCTTGCTCCCGCACAGGCTTCGAGCGAGCGGGAGAGGACAGATGGGTAGGGATGGGTAGGGATGAAAAAAAGGGGTGGGCTTTGGACTGTAGATTCCATATATCTGGTCCCACGAGACTTGGGATTCTACAGGCAACTTTTAAAAATGCCTTGGGAGTTAGGAATTAGATATAGCCAAAAATGCACGGAACAAATAAGAGAGGATATAGTGGATGAAAAATGCAAGAGGGAACAGTGGGTGTCCGCTGGCAGGTGAGTTAGGAAATAGTGGTTTGGGGGAAGGAGAAAACAAGAAGTGGCTCCACACTCTTCTTTCCCCATTCATTCCTGAGCTCAAGTCAACCTTCGTGTGTATGTGTTCTCTGGCAGCTCCAGCATGCCACGACTTTATGGCCATTACCAGCTCACATGCACATGAGTTGGGACTATATAAGTTGCTAGCTTTTGCCCAAGTATGGGATCGGAACGCTAGAGTAAACATCCTTAAATCAAGCTTAAGCTTGCTAATAATGCTTGCTATGTTGCCATGAATCGGTGAAGGCAGATGAGTTGTGTTCGGCCAGACGGCCAGTGTATGTTCCGCAACTCCCAACCCATGTGTGACCAGTATATATATATATTTAGTAGATTAGTAGATGTTACAGGACACTCATGTTGTGCCACTGAAAGCGGTCAAACTTTGAGCTGTATTATACATATAGCTGTTGGCCTGGTCCTATTTTATATGCTTTGCCAATCCATGACAGTCACAAGTTGCCTAGGTTTGGAGGTTGCAGTTTAGCTACCTGGTATTACCTGGAGAGCTAGGTGACCCCAAAGCCAGATGAGTTTTGAGCCCGACCTGCCTATGCAGTTACTTTGAGTCAGCTTGGTTCCAGGGTCCAAGGTTGTGAGTTTCTTGATTGGTTTGCTCTGTCGCAAGTTCCGCAAGATTGAAGAAGTGGTATCTTGTGCCATTGGAATCCTTATCGTTGGGCTCTCCACTGTGGAATGTGCAAAGCAGCTCCTCAACAACATTGCCATTTGTTGCCCGAAAGTTTGACCATTTTCAAGTACGCCCGGAGAATGAAAAAATCCCAAGAGTTTGGCAATTTGGAGGCGTTGTTTGATTGTCATGTCATACAGTAGCAGCACTTTATTCTTGTGGGTGGCGGGCAAGGTGTGGTCTATGCTTTCATGACACGCCCATGCTGGTTCCTCACACCTGCCTGCAGGCACGGGTGCTGGGTTTGCCTTCAAGTTCATTTGTTCGAAACAATGAAACGTGCATCCATTCACAACAATGGCGTCCAACCTAATAGCGATTTTGTCGAACATGTTTAGAGCACTCAAGTTCTTCCTGAGGGAAGTGCAATTGACAAGGCCAGTGGCCAAGAAAGTGTAAGAGATGGCTTCAGTCGGGTGCTTTCTTCTAGTCAGTCGGTCACCATGACAGCATTTGCAGGCAATTTCCTTCGAGGCCCGTGCTGATCCCTCGACTCGGGCGGTGGTGCGAACCCGCTATTGAAGTGGCCAGGTTCCTCTGTACCGCCTTTTCAGTATTGGACATAGAACGAGCCGCGAGTGGAGCGGCCAACGCCTCTCGTTGTGGCCTCAACTCGTAGCGAAGAGCGCCATGTAGACATTGAAGCCAAATGAACGCAACGGCGAAAAGGTGTGTCATGTCAGCGTGCCGCTAGATGCAAATCCGGTCCTCCGTAGTTCTATTGCCTCGATACCCCTTTCGTTAGACAGCGGTGAATACTCAAGCGGCTGCTCCGAGAATGTGAGTGCTCAAGTTGCATCAATCAACATACGGCAAGTGGTTCCAAAATTTTCCAAATACCCAAGCCTCTAGAAGCACGCGCACGTGCTCGTTATCCGTTTGCTTCGCCCCAGATGCCTCGGAGAACCAGTCTCACATTCAAGATCACACAAGCAACCACTTACTTGCAAACCCAGAATGATGTATACATTTGTCATCCGTAACTTGCCCAATTTGATGCCACCCCGTTGCAAAGGCATGGCCTTCGTCACATTTGGTCTCCTTCCGATGGACGGGACATATTCCCCCATTTAATTTTCGCTGTTTGTACAATTTTTGTTGGATGCAAATTTGCGATGCGCTCTGCCTTGAAACGCCTGAATGGAAAGAAAGGTGTATTGGCAGCGCGGAGTGAGGCAACTTGGCAGTCAGAAACTGGGACACCCGGCGGCCCTTTTCAATAGAGCTTGGGCTTGTCCTATTGCCTGTAACAGTCAGTAAGCAATTATCACTATTTCTGAACAAGGCCTCTACTAACCATCATCATCCACTGTAATAGAGCTACCATCAAGTGCCCCAGCAAGCGGAACCTTTCAATTATATAGCTAGTCCGAGAGATTGAAATCGAGATCGTTAGGTTGTAAAGGATTTATTTTGGAAAATACTTTTCAACATATCATTTATAGATGGCACAGGATTCGTCCTTCATCCAAATCGCAGGTGATGGGGTGTGCTGTCACTCGTGAGTGCTTTGCATTTAGTGCGATTGAGGTGCGATAATCATTGTTTTGATTTAGTAAATTCCAAGAATCATCAAGAATCCATTCCCCCTTGTTGCGCGGTGTGGAGAATGACCACTGTGGGAGGCAGTCGTCAAGCCTCAGCCAAAGCATGCGGAGTTGGAAAAGCTGAAGACAGGCGAAGACTTGGAGCGTGTCACTGCAGCGCATGTTTGGGTTCTGCGGTTGGCGGTTGACAATGTGGGAGCTTCATTTGAAACTGCAAAAGCCGAGCGATGTTGAAAGAACCAATATTGAAACACCACACGCTATCTTCATCTGTCTTCCACTTGCCAAAAGCAGCATGGAACAGCCTTGGTTTTCATGTCTTGGACATGGCATGGCAAAGCATCCCATTGCATGAGGCATCAGCAGCGATTTGCGCTCGGCAGCCGGAACAGTGCAGCGCGGCGTTTTCCGAGGCTCTACTGGCACAGCTTATGCGCCCGCATCCCCTATCCTCACTCAGGTTCTCAGCCCTGCGCCCACGCCTGAGGTGGTCGTACCTGTTTCCAAAGCTAGCACCAAGCCGACAAAGCCAGTCCCCTCACAGACTTCACACTCCTTGCAAGAGCTTCGGCACAAGTCGGTGACCGACTTGCGGGAGATGCTCGCATCCCGTGGGGTTTCAGAGGGCTCAGCCAGAGACAAGGCAGATTTGGCTGAGTGGGTCTGGCAACATCAAGATCTTCCAGTGCTCTCCAGCTGGAGGCAAAAAAGGGGTCCAAAGGGCCCCAGGCGCTATGGCTACGGAATCGGTGGAGAAGGTAGAACTGCAGATGAAGCAGAGAGTGAGCCAGAGGCTCCCAAATTGGAGGCCCGTTGCTGACTAGCTTCCATAGACCTGAAGCTTTACCTTTTTTTTTATTGGTTGGGTGTTTGTGGCCTAACTGGTGTGATCCTTTTTGGAGGCCAACGATGCCAAGCAGATTGACGGCGATGATGTGAAACTCCTGGAGGGTACCAGCCAAGCTGCTGCCCCTGGCGCCCAGGTAAGGTCACCAGCAGCCTACGCACTTGCAGGACTAACGGCCATGCTAGTGCTGCTGGGCGCTCTCGCTGCGAATGACGTACTGCAAGCGAATGAAGAAAATGCTCAACACTGCCGTTTTGGATGCGGGTGTAGCAAACAGCATGATAGACATTGGCTTGCTTTTGAAGGTCTGATGAGACATCAGCTGATTTGAGACCTTGTTTCGGCCCGTGTAGATGTCCATTGGCGCGACATTGTTGACTACTCATTATAGAGGGCAAATAATTCAATTCCATTGATTCGGCATCCCTGCTGCGACCTCTCCAACCAAGACCTTGAACACTTGCACTAACAGGGGACTTGTTGATGACCATCCTGCAGGGAAATTGTGGCATTTCTGAATGCATTTGATTGCACGCCTGCAGCATACCCGGAAAGTTGCAGGCACTGCTAGGTTGAGAAATATATGGAGCAACTCCTTTTCTCTTTCACAATGGTGAAGCTTAAGCAGGTGTGGTTTGCTCATAGCCAAACATGTTTCAACATAGAGCTTATGGCGGCTGGCCCAAAGCTGTGGCCTTGCTGCTAGGCTCTGGGACAGCTGTTGTTCCCAACTCCTCTCCAGTCTCTTGGGGCACCAACTGAATGCTGTTTGTTTTTTACCTTTCAATCAATGAAAGGTGAATCACTGCCCATGATGCCAGGCCCCCACAAATCTTTATGCTTGGCTATTGGACTTCCCTTTTGCTGACTCGGAGGTGCAAAAGTGGCTTCGAGACTCGCACTCTCTTTCGTGGGAAGCTCTGAAACTTTGCCACGCTGCAGGCGAAAAGGGTGGAGGACATGGGAAATGCTTGAGTTCCACATGCCGCGCTTGTGAAGGCGATGCTCTCTGGAAGCAGGAACGGTTCATTCATGCTCGTCCGCGGCTCAAGACCACTGATCTCAACTCTTTGGTGTGAACCGGCATGGTTGAAAGTTGAAAGTCCCCAAACGTTGGTTTGACGTTGGCGTCTTTCCAGGAAGCTATTGGCGTGGTTGGAGGAGGGTGGCGCGCAAGGGTTGTCGGACGTGGAGCTCATTGAGTCTGAGGTCTTCGGCCGTGGGTTTCTGAACTGCACGAGGTGAGACCTGCCGGTCACAGAAGGCCGAATATGGCTGAATGACACCAGTGCAAACATGTCCAGATGCAATGTCATCATTTTTTCTTTTCATGCTTTCTATATACTATGTTATTTGGGCCCCTCTTTAGCACGCGCAGATCAATGATATGATGAACCATTGTTCATTACATTCCATTGACATTGCATCACTATCTTAGGCTTGTTGCTTGTCGGGACTTCTCCCAGCATGAAATTGTCGTATCCATTCCGACCTCGCTGTGTCTAGCTGGAGCAGATGAATTGGGGCCAGAGGAGAAGGCCGCCGCAGCCTTGTTGAAAGAGAAACACCTTGGGCAGAAGTCCAGATTCCAAGTACCTTGGCACCTCGTCCTTTTACGTTCTTTTAGGCTTCAACTCAGTTTGTAGACGGTCGCCGCCATAGGCACCCCCGCGGTCGTTCAGGCATGTTTAGGCTTGTTTCTTTGCATATTTTTTGTTTGCTGCAAGAGCTGCCGCACCACAACCCAGCTCACTGACTTTGAGGCCTACATTGCATCTCTGACCCCATTGAGCATGCGCATGCATCCGGCCACCTGGCCCAAGCACCTGAAGTGGAAGAGGTTGTTTGCCTCGAGCCCGGGTGCTTTGCGACGAATACGCCGGGCCAGGACTGTGCAGATACGTGGATCAGCATGACATATCTTGACTGAAGGCAACGAGAGTAGGTTGGCGCTGCTTGCGTGCTTGCGTGCTTGCCTACTTGCGTGCGTGCTTGCTTGCTTGCTTGCTGGCTTGCCGGCTTGCCGGCGTGCGTGCGTGCGTGCTGGCTTGCTGGCTTGCTGGCTTGCTGGCTTGCTGGCTTGCTGGCTGGCTGGCTGGCTGGCTGGCTTGCTTGCTTGCTTGCTTGCTTGCTGGCTTTCTCGCTTTCTTTTATGCAACATATCGTCACCATGCAGTCCGCAGCCGCATTGCGTCGACGCGCGAAGGGCCTTAAACTTAGACATTGATTGATGGCTTACTGCTTGCTTCAGGATGCGGGCTGCAGCTGCAGTGGCCAAGCTGCTTGAAGCCGGCTCCGCGATGGACGAGGAGAGGCAATTCATTTTGGATCATTTTGGTGTGCTTGGTTTAGATGCTTTGAGGTGGCTCCCAGTTGCCAGGGTCCCAGCTTGTTGGCTGCCAGGAGGAGGCTCGTTGGGCGTTGGCCATTGTACGCAGTCGTGCATTTCCAGATCGATCAGGGCAACTGATGCTTTGTCCTCTTCTCGACCTGCTGAACCATTGCACCAGATCAGCTGGAGGCGGCCGACTAGCTTTTTCAGCCGGCTTCAGGGCTCTCCCTGAGTTTCTTCATTCAACCCCATACCCAAGCGCAAGCATCACACCACTACTGCAATGTTTACGTCACACGTCCATACTTTTTCATGATTATGACGATTGATTTTTCGAGCTTCATCTCCGATGTCAACGTTTGGAGCAGGCCCGACGTGTGGCTTCGTGCGTTTGGACGGAAGAGTGGCAATGGTGGCAGAGCGCAAGATAGAAGTCCAATACTTACTGTAGCTTCTCAACGTCGTTTCTCTTGTGCAGTGTTCTTTGTAGAGCAAGTTGAATCGGAAGACCAGACTCGGTCCGCCAAATCATCGTAGTTGGGTAGCGGAAGAGAGATAGACATAGATACAGTAAGTAGTAAGTCTTGTATTTTCTTCAGCGGCTCACTCAGGTGAATGAGGAGCTGTGCCACCTGTACGCCTTGTCACCAAGCGCAGAGCTTTTTGCAATTTGGCTTCTACGAACTTGGCCCATTTGCTCCCTCATCATTCTTGCTGTGAAGCATTTAGTTGCCAGTTAAACGTATTCAAGTGTGCTTTCTTCAACCTAGGTCCGGTGAGGTTGAAGTTGCTGTACAGTGTCGTGTCGTTGCAAGCCACGAAGCACGCGAGGCGAACTATGGTTTTGTCCCTGAAGGTGGGGCCGGTGGATTTGAAGAAGCACTTATCGTTGCTGGGCTTTCAAGGGTGAGACAGGAAATCTAACACAATTTGTGCTGCTTGAAATGCCAATGGTCCAATGGTGGTTAAACAGATCAAGAGCCTTGATGGAAGGGACTGGGTCGTGGTACGCCTTGTGCGTTTGTTTTTGTATGCGCTTCTCCTGTCAGCCACTTGCGTTGTTGGTTTCCAAGGAAGTTCCAATTGCTGCAACCTTTGCACACCGAGCGGCTCTCAAGCGGCGTGGTTTGGATCAAGGTGCCTCGCTTTGGTGATGTTTGCGCATGTTTACGCACAGGCCTACAAGTCCTGTTTTCGCCGTCAGACCTGGGCACTGTAAACATCAATCATCATGTGACATGATACACCAGAAAAGAAGCTCGTGTCGCTTCATTTCACCGTGAACCCCACGAGGTTTTGTGGTGAGTTGAGAATGTCCTTCCAGCGCTGACAAGTCGTTGTCGTTGACCTTTTAAGGTGAGCCGTGAAGATGCGGACCTTTGTTTCTCGTTCTTTGCCCTCTACTGGTAGTATAGCTTCTTGTTCCTAGTAACGATGCCCTGTGCTCCTAGTAGCGATGCCTTTTGTTACTAGTAGCCAAGGTCTGAGCCAGATATTGCTTCGGCTGTTTGGGAACATAGCCAGCAGTTGGATTCTTCCAGTGGCCACTTGATGGGATGGTCGTGTGTAAAGTGTCAGGCACGAACTTGCCGGTGATGTTATGAATTTCTTATGATTGCTTCGTTCAACTTTCATAAAGCATGGTTTGAGCGGCTGGTGCATGGAAAGAAGCCAAGCTTCATTCGGATTCCCAATCAACCAAGGCCAGGCTAATGACTCTTCCAGCGAGCGAAGTGGAGCAGCTGGAAGGGAGGGTTCTTGATCAGTGGCAGGCCAGCGAAAAGATTGGACCAGGGAAGCTGATGATGCAATTGCATTCAACTGGTATCAATTGGTATTTCACACTGGTTCGGGGCATTGCATCCGCCACAACATGGTCACGTACATGTATGTACTGTAAATAATTCTCCTAATCTATTAGTTTGGGAGCACTGACACCTTGACTTGTGACAACGACACTGCAAGGAAGCTATAGCGTGCAGTCTGTCAGTGTGATATACAGTTACCCCATTTACTAAATGGGGTAAATGTATATTAGACACTTGCCTCAAGGAGTTGCCTGATCCAAAGATGGAGTACCTTGGTATATCTCAGAATTTCCCTTGGAACTTGGAACAAACTTTTTGTTATTGTCGTATTGTTTTTTTGTTCCGAGTCTCGCCGTGAGACGATCCCAACACTAGGTTTCAGCTAATGCCCGAAAAATTAAAATTCATGAAAGTTCACAGTTCACTTGACACATTATTCTTAAAAGGGTTGCTTCTCCATTTTGAGGATGCAGGCAGTTGCTTTAGCCAAGAGCTGGCTGGAAGCACAAGAAGGAAGAGGCTGTGAAGCCTTGCGATGCCTGGAGGTGGGACCAACAACTCCTTGTTTGTGTGCGTTTTTGTTGCTCCTAGTAGCGATGGCAGGAGCCCCTAATAGCGTCCTTGTTCCCATTATGCGTTTGCAGGGCAACCTAATGTGATGCACTGGTGTACTTCTGAGGCCTTATGCCTCACACCGCTGACTCCCAAAACAGAAAGACAGTTGCCTCCACGCCCGCTGCCCGCAGCCCAGCCCCATGCCAACACTCGCATACAATCCTACCATATCCTACCTATATACCCATGCTCACCAAGAACCAAGAGGAAAGAGGAGCAAGAGTGCCAATCAAAGTCACTTAGCACCAGCTTTTGGCTCAATTTGCAGCCCGGAACTCCAAAATTACGCAATGCCGACGTCACCTGTCGATACCCTGTACCCAATCCGGCAGCGCAGCCAGGCGTATCCACCACAGCTCCTGAAACAACAGCTTGTGCCACCTGAGTTGGGGCTGTACATATATAAATATATAAATACACAAATGCAGTTATATATATATATTTATATTACAATATACAGACATACCTGACTCCCACTTGTGGCCCCTACTCTGCGAAGAGAGAGTCAGCGTATATATGAGCATCCAACACAACCTAGCGCACACTAAAGTAGTCGCAGGGTGGTCTTGGGATAGTGAAAACCCGCATCAAACCTGCATAACCAATCATATGTAGCTGGCATAAACACTTGGTATGTTGCAGTTGTTGCCCAATGGCAACTGGATGATGGAGTTGCTGCTAGCCTTTGGCTGCCTGCCAGGGGCCACAGTTTTTTGTGAAATCGTTGCTCATTGCAGTCAAAAGGTTGTGCCTCTGGTGGGAGCACGGGTCTGCAGAAGAGCTGCAGCACAACCACTGAACAGCTTTCTCACCGCAGTGCCTAGCCGATGCCCCAACCGATGCCCACTTTGAACATGTTTGTGTCCGTGCAAGAGCAACTTCACCGCAACTTGCACAACCACTAACTACTGTATTTGATTAATTCCTTCACTGTTGGAGTGCCAAACGATGGCAAAAACTTGATGCCGCCAACAAATAGCTTGCTGAGGGAAACAAGTGGACCTGCTTTGCACCCGTCCTTATAAATGCGCATAACCGACGGGGGCCGACCCATCCTAGGTAATGGCTGATGTAGTCTTTGCAACATGTTTCATTGTTTCACATCGACAACTTCTGCAGTACTACAGAATGGCCATCAGTGCAACGTGTTGAATAGCAGTCTGTTCCTGTTATTTCATGCTTGATCTAACGCATTGGCAATGTGCTTAGCCAGTTGCAAGCTCAACAACAGGATCTTGATCAAATCCAAAAAGCTGCAGCCGATCTCATCCGTGCAGAAAGCGACCTGATTGCGTCAAGCATTGCCCCTTGCCTGCAGCACCAAAGCCCCTGCCGCCAAGCAGTAAAAAGGGCATGCCCCCTGTAATATGCTTTGAGATTGCGCTGTGTGTGTAGATTCCACATGTTTTCACACTTCGGGCGGGCAGGTTATTTATGTAAGCCTGCTCAATGAGTCAATGAGCCATTTGTATTATTATATAGATCTTCATTGATTTGGTTTCAAATGGCCTTCACTTGGGGATACTTACGGATCACGTATGGCGCGAGATGTCATAAGTGTGTTTCTTTAACCAAACATGTCAGCGATGGACGGAGCTGAAATATCACGTTTTGAGTGTCCTTGATTTTACAAAATTCATTCCTCAGGATATTGAGCTTGTCCAAGCCATAGGCCGTAGGCAATCCATGGCAATCCCCTAGATCCAGAAGAGCGAACCACTGAGGATTGGCTGCGCGCTCGAGAGCACAGGCTAGGCCAGCTAGGCTTGAAAAAGGTGAGTCATCGAGTTTGTGCCAGTGAGACTCTTTTGCCTTTGGTCGCCAGGGTTGGTCAATAGAGTCAAGAGTCGTCGTGAGCCTTATGGAAAAGGATGACCAGCGCAAGCAGCGCATCCAACGTAACCAGCGCGATCACAGCCGCCGTGGTAAGTGCCAGCGTACCGGCGCACGATGGTTCGCGGACACGTGTTGCCACGTGGCTTTAACATTAAGATTAAGCTAAACATAAATAAGGTAGAAGCCTAAGTTTCTAAAATTGAAACTTGCGAACCATTTTACGTGTAGACTACAGCCTAGTTGTATAGCATTTCTAGCGTCATAGAATGCGCTCGCAGCCCTTGCCTTTTGAGTATCAAAAAAAGGTGAACATGGCAGTGGAGCAAGGATAAGGGTAATAAGGGTAAGCCCCTTTGAGCTCCAGATAAGAGCCCGTAGGTCACTGGGATCCCGGGCGCGATTTCGAGCCATAGATTTGGGCCTTTGGAACTCAAACAGCTGGACTGGTGAAGAATTGTTGTGAGCAACACTCTGTGCCCAGTACATTGTGCCAAAGAGACGTTAGAAAAAAGAGAAGATGGAGGAAATCAGAGAAATCCTTCAAACTATAGCACAGAGTACGCTGGCAACAACATCAGCAGCTGAGGCAGTAAAGAAAGCAGTTGAAGACAAGATTGGTCAAAGCTGATAGCAACACTTTTGACTATAAGTCACAAGAGAAAGAGATTGAGGCATTCAGAGAGTGGTCATGGGTCTTTGAGAAGTACTTGAGTGCAGCCAGCGAGGGCTACATGAAGGAATTGAAGGAAATTCACGAGAAGCCAAGTGACAAATTTGACATGGACTTGACAACTGGGGCAGAGAAGGCCAGGTGCAGCAAGCTCTATGGATTGTTAGCTTCGTTGTTGAGAGGAAGGGCACTGCGCGCTACAACCTCAACTCTTGAAGGTTGAAGAAGCATTTGATGAGACAGTCAAGGCAGGGACTGGGACTACAATTCCGGAAGAGTTGAAATCTGCTATTCTTTTGAGATGTGTAGGTGGGCAACTCAAAGCCTACTTGAACTTGACAATTGGCGACAATGTCACAACTTTGAGGGAACACGTGTTGCAATAGGATCGCTCTCAGCAGAAGTGAGCTACTTCCATGGTGGCTAGTAGCAGTACAGACTACCAAGGGCCTATGCCAATGGACATTGGTCGAGTCCAAGGTGCCAAAGGAAAAGGTAAGAAGGGCAAGAATGACAATCAGAAAGGCAAAGGTAAAGATGTCAAGGGCAAAGGAAAGAAAGGAAAGGAAGGTGATCACAAGGGCAAAGGTAAAGGCAAAGACCAAAAAGGCAAAGGTGTGGCAACTATATGTTATTGTTGTGGAAAGCCAGGACATCTTGCTAAAGACTGTTGGAGGAACAAAATTCGACAGGTAGCAGGTGATCAAGCGCATTCATCTTCAGGATCGCCATCATCAACTATCCATACAGTTGGCCAACAACATGCCAGTGTTACAGATACCAAGCCAGCGGTCAGGAGAATTGAGAATAGTGAGTCAAGGATCTTTGACTTGAGAGAAAGAAATGTTGAGCTAGAAGATCAAAGAAATGATGAGCCAGAGTTCCAGGAAGTTGAGGAGGTTGAGATCTCAGATGATGAACCCATGGTGAGGAGACTTGGAGAGGAGAATGCGGATGTGGCCATCTATTGACTGTGGAGCTGATGTAGCATTATTTCCTTTGAGTATGGCAGATCATGGGGCAGGAGGGTTGCACTTCAGCGCAAAGACCAAGTTACAGGATGCGCAAGGAAATCGTATCCCTAGAGAAGGTGGGAAAAGTGTTGAAATTTCCTTGCGTGACCTTGATGGACGCGAAGTTCTTCTCAAAGAGAATGTGAACTTCAGTTCTAAGGTGAACCAACCCATACTTGTTTGTGGAAGGTTGATGGAACATGGTTGGGGAATCAATAGCAGAGAGCAAATGTTGGAGAATGGTGACTTGAAGGTACCGCTCAACCTACAAAATCGCTCTTTGACCATTCAAGGCCGCATTAAAGTCATTTGAGATGAAGATGAGAACTGCTTGGAGGTGCAAGAACCTGAAGCTTTGGAGAAAGAACCAGGTTGGAGATTCAATGAGCATGGACTGCTAGTTGGAAGCTTATTGGCTTCAAGATTTGCGGATCCCATAGTCATCCCCGAAGTGAGCTGATGAGAACCACTTTGGTGAAAAGAGGAGGTAGCTGGTAAATGCTTGAGTATTGTCAGGTCATGATGAAGAAGGAGGAACTTGGTGAGCAATTCTTTGGTGATGATGCAGTCATTCCTTCAATTACAATCTTCAGCTATGAGCCAGCAGCACCACCAGAGGATGGGATTCTTTGCACCAGGATACAAGAAGCTTGAAAACAGAGAGCAGAAAACAGAACTGCAGCAGGCAATAGAAGAGATTACCCCTACTCCCCAGGAGAACAAGGTAGAAGGTCAGGAGGATGAAAAGAAAGATGATGACCTTGAATGTGTGCTACAATTGAGCCCAGTGGAATGGTTCAGGGAAAGAAGAACCACTATTCCCAGGGCCAATGGAGATTCCAGCCCCGTTGGAAATGCCTGTTGAAGCATTGAAAAGAGATGGAGGTGAAAGGAAGCCGAGTGGAGAAGCAGAAAGTTCTCTTTACAACCCAATTACTCCTATACTATCTTCATTGAGATCACAATCAGGCAAATCAAGGCCAAGAGAGGCAATTGAATTGCTTGAAGAGGAAAGTCCAATGAAGAAACCCAGGCCGCCAGATGATTCAAGCAAGAAGGCCAAGATCAACATGGTGAAGTTTGGGGGAGAAGATCTTTACCATGTATGTAGGCGAAGAGCTATCCCCAGTTGCAGAAGAAGTTGGTGAGGAAGAGTGGGATGAAGAAGAAGATGAATCAGATTTGGCAGAAGTAAATGGACCTGAATGCCTGTATGATGCAGCATTTGCCGTAAAGGAATTGGCTTCAAGAATGTCAAATCCTACAGCTATGTCATTTCACCACTTGAAGAAGTTCTTAGGATACTTGAAGACTATGGACTATTGTCTAGTACTTGAACTTCCACTATGTCAAGAAAGGAGAAGGCTATTGGTGCTTGGAGACATTCTCAGATTCAGACTGGGGCGGAAACAAAACCCATAGAAAGTCAACATCAGGAGGGTTTCATGCATTGGAATAGTTGTCCAGTGCTCAACAGTAGCAGGACACAGAAGATCATTAGCTTATCTTCGTGTGAGGTGGAACCACGTGCTATAGTTTCCTCAGCAGCAGATGGAATCTACATTCGCACAGTTCTGGAATTTGCTCTGGGGACAAAGTTGGGCCATTACATCTCAGATTCTTCAAGCGGGCGCCAACTTGTGATGAAGAGAGGAGTTGCAAAAGTGAGATACTTGGATGGAAAGTTGCTATGAAATCAGAGCAGGAAAGATTTCAAGATGGTACAAGTACCAACAGCAACGTGGCAGATACCAATACAAAGCCACTTGGAGGACAAAGAATCAGATACTTGATGAACCTCACTGGTGATTGGCACAGTGAAGGTCAGATCAGAGTAGGAGAGTATGAGACAAGGGTGTTTGAAGGGAAAAAGAATTTTGCAGGAAAGGTCAACAAGATTGCCAAGATGCTTGTGAGAATGGTAGCGTCGGAGGGCCTGCAGCCAATGGTTACAGAAGCATTCCTGAAAGGAGACAACATCCAGTGTGTATTGGACGCAGTGAAGAAACCCAATGAAGAACTGCAATTCTGGATTGTCATGATCACTGTGTTCAACATGATTGGTTTTGCAACAGTGATCTGTCATCTGTGTACTCTTCAAGATCTACGAACACTTTGAGAGCCTACCGGCCAAGGAAGCCCATACAAATCGCTTTATGGCAGAGTACTATGACCTGTAGTCAGGAGGATTGAGAAGCGAATTGATGAAGTTGAAGAAAGGCTTGGAATTTGGAGAGAGGAAGAACTCGAAGACAAGTTAGACACTCTCCAAGACTATGTCAGGAGAATTCACAGTGGATGGATTCTGAATGGAGGCTTTGTAGAGCGAGAGAGGGAGAACCACCAACGACACAAGCTATCCTCAGCTATCACATCTTGAGTGAGACCAATGCAGGAAACTACTTAGCCAGAACGAGTTTGGACGCTATGCAAGCTACAGAAGGATGGTATGAAGGAAAGAGAGTAATGCTCAAGGCAGCCAATGAAGCAGCAAATCCATCAGAAGGACCATTGAACAGAACATTCAGAAGAGGAAATAGCGAAGCATCAATGAGATCAGAGTATATAAGGGCGCAGGCAATGCAGATGCGTGGTTGACTCGAATGCAGAAGGGACAACCCAGATGTTGATCCATCAGAAGTACATGTCAGGAATCAGGACCCCAGTTCCTGGATGAAACGAACAAGCCTGCAGAGAGAGAGAGACAGGAATTGAATGGAGAAAATGGATTTTGCTGGCAAAGTGAGCTCAAAGAAGCATCAGGGAGCGAACCATTTTCCATGCAGATCACAGTCTAGTTGTATAGCATTTCTAGCATCACAGAACGGTGCGTAACATTTCAGAAGCGATATTTTTTACGCAAGAAGTTATGAAAACATATTTTTCATTTGCTACCCCTTTTACAACTAGGTTAATGTATTTGGATAGTGACGATAGTGATGGCGAGGTTTTGAGCAACACCGCCCCACTGCGACCCACTGCGTGTCAGTTGGAGGTCCAGTTCCATTTCGCATTCCGTTTTTGCGTTTCGGCCGTTCTTTTGCTTCAAGCCTGTCACCGTTTGCTCTGCCATGGCCGCCGTTGCCTCGCCGGCTTTTGTTTCTGGACCCGGCCTGGCCACGCCTGTGGCACGTCCGTGCCAAGGTCCTCAGGCTGCGCCGTGGCAAGGAGTCAAGTTTGTTTGCCTTATGGCCGTGGGTAAAAATGCGGGTACCCTGGTTGACCGCAGGGTGAAACGGGCTCCCGCTTTTGACCCGCAGCCATATTGGACTATTGCCTAATTATCAGGATTAACGATTCTTAAAACAATCATTCTTGAGACGTAGCAAGAAACTTTTATTTATTTGTTACAGGCAACAGACAATGTCGTCACATTTTTTGAGGTATTGCTACCCTGCCTTGGGGGGAATGCTGCGGAAAGTTGTCTATTTTTCCAAGCGCAAACTAACTCTGTTGGTTGGAAAGGGACCTACTTTTAGGTTGTATGCTGGGGCTCTCATCGAAAGGTGTTTTAACGCTGTGCTGGCAACTCATAAGGGGTTAATAATGCCTGCTGAAGCAGTGATTATTTTTTCTGTAGTGGGCCCCGGAAACAGTTCACAAGGAATTTTCCACATGCGAGACAAGTACAGGAAGCAACACAGTCATTTCCAGGCTTGCCAGTGCAGTTCGCTATGGAGTACCTGCGGACTTGGACAGATTACGGCAAGATAGCGAGAGCTACTGGGAGAGCTAGTGGGGTTCTTCTTTCCAGTATGGGAAAGGGTGTTGCTGCCAGATGTTTGTGGTAGTGCCGCTTTTCTGCCACTGTCTAGGCTTGGCATAGTTTTTGGTGTGGGGTGTGCAGTTTTGGACCTTGCCTGGATCTCGCCCGGGTCTCGCCCAAGCCACCATCCTCCTGCTGCTGCTGTTCGTGTGGTGCTGCTGGTGTTCTGCTGCTTGTGTGCTGCTGCCACTGCTTGGCTGCTTCCACACTGTAATTGGATCTTTTGATGAAAAGCTAAAACTTTCGTTCTGCCAATAGCAAATCTGTAAACGCCTTGTATGCAGGAATTTGATGTGACCCTGATGTGACCCGGTCGCGTCGGGCCACTACTTGCGGATTAGCTGTTTTTGAGTTGGCGGCAGACCTTCAACCCCACCCTGCGCCACTCAGAATTTAGGAGTGATCTGGCTTATCGATATTGCAACCTGTGGTCTATTGCTGGCTGCTGCTGCTTGTTGCTGCTTGCTCCTCTCTCGACTTTTTAAGACCTCGTTCTTGAGCGGCAATTTTTGTTGAATGCGACTCAGGTGCCAAATCGATGCTCCAAATTTGGTGAGATTGGGAGCTTGTCTGTTTTGGCAGTCGCGTGCGGAGCTGCCACGAGGACCCGTGGGTTTGGACGAGCAAAACGCCGAGCTCGAACTTGCTTTGGCTCACATTTGGCGCGTTCTCATGGCCCAACGGACTGTTCGATCAGGTATCGAATGCGAAGAGTGAGGCTAAAAACCTGGGGTGCATGGGTGAGAGAAACCATTAGGAGCAAGGGCATCGTTACTAGGAGCAAGGACGCTACTAGGGGTTCCTGGCCTTACTACTAGTGACAAGAAGCTAGTATAAGCTAGTAGGAACAAAGGGCATCGCTACTAGTGCAGGACTCAACGCCGACCCCACGACCGCCTTGCCGTGTCTTCGCAGCTGGTGCAATTGCACGCAACTGCCACAGCAGAGAAGCAAGGCGACCTTGGAAACTGAACACGCACTTCCTGCAAGAAATTGCAGAATGATTTGTCATGTACGATTGTCGCTGGCAGAATTCGATGCGGAAACCTGCTTGAGACGTGAGGCTTGCTGGACGCAGAGGAAAGAGCGAAGAAAATTAAGTTCAACCGGCTGCGGAAGTATGAACTGCAGGATGGGAGGGCCTCACTAAGCTCGATCCTTTTCAGATAGGCTTGGTGAGCATCCTGGTATGTTTCCAAGTCACAGCAATGTCCTGTCATTGTTCGATAACGATTCATTGGCAATCATTTATTCCCACCGAGCCACAAAGGAGCTGGAAGCGGTCTACATCGAGTCAGTTTTCTATTTCTACAGCCCCTCGGGACACATGGCCGGGCCGCGACGATGGGACTAAGGACCTTAAGGACTGGATGGCACTGACAGCGGGCTGTCGGACAGCATTCTGCAGATGTAGAAGAGGTGGGGTGAGAACCCATCATCTGTCCAACTTTCAGGTCTCAATTTGGCAAAGTGGGACTCGGAGGAATAGGTCATAGTTACATAGTTGCCACAGTGACAGTGACCACACAAGTAGGCAAGGTGGGGCACAACTTGTCACGAAAGCTAGTTTCAGCTAGCTGGAGTTGCTTTAGCAAGCTATTCGCTGCGGCTGGGGGATGGAATCGCCTACCCAGTGAATTATCCACTGCTAGACCCTCCGCGGGCTCAACTCCCCTTTTGGACGTGTCAGATTTGGTAGCAGCTATAGTCCTGATAGCGTCCGTTCTGAGACCATTGGACCATTATGTTTCACATCATGCCGCGCATTCCCCATCCGTTTTGAGGCCATGTTATTAGATGCAGCTAGCTTTCGTCACCAACCCCGGCTCAAGTAATTTTTCGCAACGTGGGACACCCAATGATATATATATATATATAGTTTTTTCCCACGATTCTCAGCACAAAGTGGTGGTCTCAAACCTGCCCGGCCCGAGGTGATCCGAAGAATCTCCTTTGCAATGGCAGGTTTCAGCGTTCGTGATGTTGCTGTGAGTTCGATGAAGGGCTCTCGCAGCTCCAAGACTCAAGGTGAACTTGATTGAAAAAGGCTGTTTGATGTGCTAGGTGATATATGCTGTCTCTTAAAGGCAGCAGACGGCCTTTGATTCGGGATAGCCAATGGTGACTGACTAGGAAAGAAATCATCTCCAAAGACGATTATGACAAGCTGGTGGCTTACCTGGACAAGCAAAAGTCAAAGGTGCGAAAGCTGAGACCAGAAGAAGTCAGGTGGGGACCGTTGTTTCTTTTCGGGCATCATCCTACTTGATTTCATTTTGATCAAGCTGGCAGGTTCATAGAAGCAAGCATCGCTTACTATAGAGGCAAGCCTGTGATGTCAGATGAAGAGTACAAAGGCTTACGCTGCTGGGCCGATGCTGGTGGGTCACCTCCCAACTTTTTCGCCGCATTGGATTCTGCCCAACTTTTGTTATGTACCTCTTGGGACCCTGGAAACCACAGGCAGAAGCAGCTTTGTATCCAGTTCATGGGAGTTCCTTTATGGTGACGCAGTGAAACTTACAATGTGGGTTGTAAAAATCAGCAGGTCTTGATGTTCTTAAAGAGGACTTACACCATCGACCTGCATTTTATTTAGAACATCGACCGAGTTGTGCTTAGCTTAGAACATTAAACTTAGAACATTGGTAAAACGTTATTCAATCACCTGCAGAACATTTAACATAGAACATGCACCATGACCATACAAACCTGAAAAACATATTATATATAATATATATATATCTATCACTAGGAAATCAATAGGAAATTGTATAAAAGGAAATCGATAGGAATCAGAATCAAACGAAGTTAAAAGAAACTCAATAATAGGAGCCAAAATAATTCAATTTTCAAAAGGAGCTTAAAAGTAAATCAATAGGAATCAAGAGGAATCCAAAGGGACATCAATAGGAATTAAAAGGAATTTAACAGGAACTCAATAGGCATCAATAGGAATTGACTTCCTGGCATCCAGCGGATGTTCTAAGTTATGTATGCTGCATGAGGCGTTGGGGGGAACATGTACTTAGAACATCACAACATATCACAGTCATCCACTTAGACAATCTGGGAAAATTTGGCAGTGACGTTCTAAGAGGATGTTCTAAAATTACTAGTCCTCGATCGGCGGGTGTTCTAATGTAATGGTTTTGCTATGGTTTGCTACTGTTTTTGAATAGGGGGTGTTCTTTCAAGTTGAACATGCCGTTCTAAGTTTCACTGCGTCACGATACATAGATAAAAACATCCAAATGCAGGACATTGCCTGAGACATAAAGCAGATCCTTTGAGAGTCTCAGGGCTTTCCAAGGGCATTTCTTTTAACTTCTCCGTTGGTGGACAAGTCTTCCTGTCAAAGCTAAGGATCAAAAGTATCGAGGTCAGGGCGGCGAAAGGATATGACTGCTTTGCTGTTGACAGAACGCAGCAAGCAATTCCTCAATGACGAGGAAATGACAAAGTTCCAAGAAGCCTTCAAGAACGCCAGGCGGACCGGAGACATCGGCAGATTTGAAATGCTTTTAATGTTAGTCGGCCCATGTGGTCTTGGGGCAGAAATCTCACAAGACTAACATGGGGTAGGATGGAGGAAGTGGCTGGACCCTAGCAATTCCTTTGCCAGAAGAGCTCCAAGCAAGAGTCTGGTTTTGAAAGTAATTACTGTAAGCTTATGGTTTTTTCCTGCCGCCAGGGAATATGACTTTTCCAAGCTGGTCTCTTGGTGGATCCCAGCATATTTGTCGTTTCCGAACTCGCGAGTGTATTTACCTCAGCACAACATGATCGCCGGTCGCGGCAATGGTCAAAGAAACTTGGATTGTCAGCTCTTGCACCAGTCCAGACTCAAGGAATCATATGCTGTCGGCGATTTGGAAGAGCTTTACATTGATGCGTTGTGGTGCAGCTTGGCCAAAGATAACCGCCAGCTGGCCACTATTGGCCACTGCCTCTTCGGGTGGATTTCCAACCAAGGCGACAATGACATTGCTGTAGGTAGATCATCTCAAAGAAAAAAACTCACCCCGGACCCACGGTTGCTTGAAACTTTGTCTAAAAGTGGCTGTCGACTGTGAAGTGGCAGGATGTGGCAAGTTTCTAAAACATTTTTGCGTCCGATGGCACACTACAGAGATGAGAATTGTCCTGCACACGGTTCCATTTTGACTCCAAATCTGACAACATTCCAAAGGCTTCCACAGGGAAAAGCGTGCCCTTCTGAGTGATGATGAATTTGACGAGCTCAAGAAAGTCTTGTACAAGAAGCTGGGAGAAAGTTGTGCTTGTGGTTGGCATGAGCTGGTAAAGTACTAGATTTCTTTACCGTTGAGTTTTCAGCACATGCTCCTGAAGAGTTGGCCACAGGCAGATGATGTTGCTCAGTCTTGTTGTGCTGTGTGTCTCCTTGTCATCCTAGCAAGATGTTTGGTTCCTAGCAGCTGGTATTCATCTCAGATTTGGGAGCTCACTCTGATTCGCACCAGACATGCAATGACAGAGATGTGAAGAAGGATTCGCACCTGGCTTAGGATGGGATCCCGCTTTCCAACCTTGAAGAGGCAGTGTGAGCACGTCAGTGTGGTAGGAGCAAGGAAGGTTCAGGGGTGTACCGAATCCGATGTACAATATAATATACATGTGCATCCCATGGGTTGTCATTAATGAACATTATTATATAACTATTATTTGTACCGAAATTTGCTGGCTGCGCTGCCCTATACAGTGAAACCTCTGGATGACACGCAACCTCTGGCACACTTACTCAACCCTCTTTGGACGAAATATGTTATATATGTGTGTTCGTCTACATGAGATCTTTCATGTTGGATCCCTTTGACAGGAACGAAGTTGCCTTCGTGGAGGCATCCATCGCATGGTATCGTGGTGAACCTTTGATCTCCGAGGACCATAGAGCGAGTGGATCCGTTTTCTAGATGCCATGAAGCTTGAACCTTTCATGGTACAGTAACTTTGCAGTTGAATGAGCACACTGAGCAGCTGTGGGTATATACGGGTGCTCTATGCATTTGTTTTGATGGTATCACGGTATCACTATGCAAACAATACGGCAAGACATCCTTGTTAGCATACAGCACCATAGACATAATCTGGTGTTTTTCTTGATTTGTCGACATCCCTTCCCACGAAAGAATCGACTCGTCTATACTCGTCTTGAATTAGGCCCCGCCCCAAAACAATTCCAAGGGAGTTTGGTCTAGGAATTTTAATGGCTATCAAACACCAGAGATGTGTTTTGTTGTTTTTGTGCTGATTGGATTTTAATAAAAGGACAACCACAAGAAATGAATAGAAATGAACATAATGTCCTTTTGTTGAATTGGTCGGAAAGGGCAACAAAAAGAAACACAAAAAGAACTCAATAGAACTACTTCTGTTGAGTTAAATTTGGAAAGGAATGCACAAGGGACCGAACAAGGATTTCAATTTGTAGAATTGTTTTTTGTAAGGAAGCTGATGGAAACCCTTTCCTGCTAAAGAAAGAGCAGAGGAAAAATTGGAATGCAAAGGGAAATCCAAAGAGTGATTAAGTGAACCCAAATAGATCAATTCCAGGGCACCCGTGGACTATTAGCTTGAAATAGCAATTTAATTTGATGCATGATGCATATACATATATAATTTCATCGTTTAAGAATATTTACTAGAAAAAAGGAATCAGCTCAGTCCCAGGACCAAAGACGATGGACTAGCGGAAAGAAGCAAGAATGAGCAATAGAAAACCCATAGATTAGAATCGGACATCAGATGAAGGCCCGGCAGAATGAATTCGCCCTGGGGACGCACAGTTTTGACCACAACAATTCTAGGGTCTGATGGGTCTGGAATACTTGTGCGAAACATTTGTGCATTCCATACTCAAGTGCCAGGATTCTTGTGATTCAAGATGTTCAAACGACGCCCGTAGAGCCTCTTTGGAGCAAAGCCAGGAAGACTTTCAGCAGCTAAAGACGGAGATCACCGCATCTGGGAGACGCAAGGATGTCACAGTGCCAAGGCTGCGGTCCAGCCTGCCAGATGATGTCACAGGGTAACGGGGTGGACGATGGCGGACGTTGGACCATTTGCAACGGACATACCTCTTTGGGACGGGATAAGTAGTGAGTTTCCCTCAGCCTTGTGTCGGCAGTGAATTTGAGTAAGGCATTTTTGCTCTATGAGCGTGGGGAGCAGTTCCTCAATGCCGAGCAGTATGCTGCAATGAAGGAAGAATATGACTTGCTGGGTATCAGTGTCTCGGTCCACCACGCCGCACTGGAACCGAGTTGCACCCCTCTGAGTCTTGAAGCTCATGGTTCAAGAGTCGATAAAGCAAAATCACATGTGATGAATTTTGCCGTCCAAAACTGTGTTCCACCAGAGAAGACCACAAACACCATGTTCATGACGATGGCACTTTTCGGAGATTGTTTCAAAAAAGTTTCCTGCCAAAGGCCGGTATACAACGTACGTTTCATTGTGCTAATTGATGTTGGATCCTGATTAAGGAAAAGGATCTCGCGCCCTCAGCTCAACAAAGGGGGGACCCTCTATAATAAACTACCACCAAAACAAATCTGGTTTCCTGGGAGGACTCCTGTTTCAATTGCTTGTTGTATTCATTTTCCTTTCAATTCATAGATTATTTATGGATATTCATTTTCCTTTCTCAGGTTCTTGAGGATGCACAATTGAGGGCCCTTAAAACAAATTTATTATTGAGGATCATGGGCTTTTCCTGGTCTACTACCTCGAACATTTGTTCAGGAGCAATGTTTTATAAAGGATTGATTAAGGAATTGATGACCTTGGGAAGCCGTCAGTCTTGAAGGAGAATTAGATAAACCTACAAATACCAATGCTCTCAGCAAGCCAGTCATTGGCTTAGTCGTATTCGCAGGGCTTCGAAAGATTTTAACCCCAAATTGTTTTCACAAATTAGGGTCCAAACATTATTAAGCATAATAGAGGGCCTTTAAGACAAAAAACCAACATGGTGTCCAGGGTGATTTTTGGAAAATGTAGAATTATAGACTTAGAGGACCCTATTACTAACCAGGATTCAACATTCTTCTCAGTGACTGACATGTCCTCATGCATGTGTTTCTTTGGGGTTGACGGTTGCTTTTCTGACCAAATCAACGCGAGCAGGACTGCGTGTGGGAGTCAACAGTTTTATGTAATGCTTCATTTGAGAAAACAGTATGCAGTATTTGTTGTGTAGAAGGGTGCCCGGCCTCTACAACGCAGTGAATGGATAAGTTGCATGAAGCAGGGGTGTCAACCAAGCATGATTTCGGCTTATAAAGAGAAAACACTTTGAAAAGACGGATTGACATTCTGCAAAGGATGACATCCTTCTCAAAAAGAAAAACTTGACAGGGGATGAGGGTTGAACAATCAGAAACTTAAACCACAATCCTTTAACTGAGGATGGGCCAAAACAAAGCGAGCTACTGTTTTTCTATTACCATTGTATTTTTTGGCAACGGCGCGCTTATCTAAATAGGATGATCGATTTCATAAGCGAGAGGCCTAGTGCAAAGATGAGGTGAAATAGCACCCTTACAAAGGACACCACTGTCATAAAGGACGAGGCATTCACAGAAGAATTGTAATTTTCAAGGAGGACTCCTTTTCAATGCAAACACGTCTCAGGGGAAGGATTTCGGGGAAGGAATAGGCTGGGCAAAGAAAGATCTATGAATGATGACACTTGTCGATTGTAAAGGAGGATGCTTGTCTAAGCCTAAGCGAAATATTTGCGCAACACAGGAGGCTTTAGCATAAAACAGAAGCCGTGTAGGATGGGGAGGCTTGACCAAGGGTGGCAAAGGTTTTTTTTTAATACACGGGACGGCTTTTGCATTGAAACTGCTTTCGCAGGAATACAACTCCAGCTATATTCAGTTAGTTTTCGGGGTCCACCGATTGGACGACAGGCAAGAACCCAAAAATAGAATCGCCCCCCCCGCCAGCCCAAGGTATTTCAGATGTGGGGCATGGTTTTGTTTTGGGTGGAGAGGTTCGGTCCTGACATGTATGTGTCCTGTGATTCTTGTAAGCATTTTGTAGCAGGGAGTCTGACTATCCTTTTTCTATCCCTGAACTGATGTGCTGATGTACCTCGTTGGATTTGACCACCCGAGATATCCGAGCCGACCTACTTCTTTTCAACAACCTTTTGCTGTTTATAATAATGACTTAATGAATCTTAATTATATTTAATGTATCCAGTGTATACTTGTTCAACTGCTTCGTTTTGAACAAGTGAGACATCATGTTTGGCAAAATCCAATCTCAGTGCTGCAATACCTGAGATTTGGGCTTTTGCTTTGAAACTCCTTTAGCTGGTGATGGAATCGTGTAATTACATACTTAGGGCCTGGGGCATCTTGGGGCAATCTTGATGTTGAATATGTGTGCTGCATTGCGCCATACAAAAGCTCATTCTGGGCACTTCTGAGATGGCACAGCCCCCGAATTGACCATTCACCACCCAAATCTGCAAAGATTGCAACACCTGTTGAATCCGCTAGTTTTTTCATGGCCGAAGGTGCTGTCAACCTGGAGGAGTGCACGCTGGCCCAGATGGAAGAGATGTATGTGGATGTGCCTGGCTGTTGTGTAGGAGTTTTTTTTGACGAGAAATGTTCTCACAGCATACTTGCAAAAGACGACGTGTGGTGGCCCGGCCCAGGCACTGTGGGCATACTACAATGATGGCACGCAACTGCTTAGCGACGAGCAGTTCAGCAAATTGAAAGAGGACAGAGGGTTTGCAGCTGATTCTGCTTCATGAGGTCAGCTGGTCAGTGTTGTCTAGTTTGTTTGGTTGTCCACTATAGCCTATAACAACATCACAAGACGTAGAAGACTTCCCTTTGGCACCCGACGCGAGGCTTGAAGACTTGAAGGATCTCAGTGACTTGATTTGGCCGATGCTTAGCGTTTTGCCAGGAGCTGGCATGGCAGGGCTCAGGATTTCCAGCATTGCAGCGGAAGGAGGTCGAGTTCGTCAAGGCCGTCGGAGTGTGTGTGGGGTCTTGGCAGTCTTGTCGGCTGAATGTGATGTGCACCCAGGGTAGGGAGTGAAGGGTGACCTGCCTGGCGGTGATCCGATTGTGCATTGTGGCTTTCCACGCTCAGGCAACCTTGGCCTATCACAGAGACGAGCCCTTGTATTCGGATGAGCAGTGGGACGAACTCAAGGCGGCAGTTGTGCCTTGTTTTTTCAACATGGTCACGATATGCCACGATGACAGTTTGAGCATTGGGGGGCCTCTCAAAGTAGAGACCAACCAATGACTAGAGTCGAGCTAAGGAATCAGACGGAATGCGTGCAGATGTGGCCGCATTTCTCCTCTACAGCAGCTTAGTTTTCGAGAAAGGCAATTTCTTACTTTGGAGCAAACATGCCACACCGCTTGGGCCTAGGATTTTGTGCGGCGAAGTTGACCGACAAAAATCAAAGCCCGTGGAATCTAATGGAACCAACTAACAAAATATGTTTTTGTGCTTGTGGGGATTCACGCACACTCACCACACAGATATACCACACGGAATGGTGGCGTGGTACACATTTGCGTTGCTTCACCTAACAACCTAGCCTTGATTCATCCAGTTGTTTCGGATTCTCAGGTAAAGGCCAAGAGATTTTGGACGCTGACTCCTACAGTAGGATGCAGAAGGTGCCCAGAAAGTCGTCAACACAGCGAGAGAGAGGGAGAGAGAGAGAGAGAGAGAGCGCGAGAGAGAATGAGTGACCTGGCTTCAGTGTAAGGGTTTTGGCCACCAATCGCCACCTCGCATGAGCATTGCTTGGGAATTGTTGGCAGGAGCTGGCCAAGATCGGCGTGAGCGTGAAGAAAGCTGGATCCAATGCCTTGCAGCAGACCATCAATATTACCAGTGGAAAACTTGAAAATGATGTACTCCAGGCAGGTTTTGTGCTGTCAGGCTGTTAGGTCATGCCTGCGCACTTCCCCTTTGTTCTCCCTTGTTCTCAGCTCCAGACCTGGTTATGGCTCCTTCATTCAGAGATCGGCTCGCGCGGCTGTAGTTTCGGCGGGACCAGCGCCGACATGGAGAACTTGGCTCCGAGTCTTGCATCGTTCGCACGTGTCGGCGATGTGGCATCACCGACAAAACAAGTGCGTCATCCACTGAGACATTCCGACTACGGCTCCCCAAAGCAAACGCATGCACTCCCCAAGTCTCTCCTGTGCTTGGGTGTGGGGGCTGTTGGCCGCAAAAGCCTGAGCAGCAAATCAAAGGTGACCAGTTCGTCACGGACGGCATACACTGACGTGCCCCGAGCCAGCCTGGTGGTGCCCGAAGTGGCCATTGGGCAAAGCACCATGCCAGCCATTGCCTTTGGTGTTGGCTCTCGTTGGTTGGAAGATGAGGATCGTGAGGAGCGCTTGAAGCGCTCCATTCACTCAGCTTTGGACGCTGGATTCCGTCATCTTGATGATGCAGAAGCCTATGGAATGCAGGAGCTTCTGGGTGAGGCCATCCATGAATGGATGGAGAAAAGTGGAGCCAAGAGAGAGGAGCTCTTCATGACCAGCAAGGTCTGGAGCCTTGATGGAGACATTGTGGCCAAGTGCCGGCAGCTTTTGAAGGATAGCCGCCTGGACTACTTCGACCTTCTGTTGGTGCATTGCGCCTGTACAGAGGCCGGCGACCCATTTAAGAAGCCACTCCCCGCCATTTGGGAGGAGATGATGTCTATCAAGCAATCTGGACTTGCAAAGGAGATTGGGGTGTCCAATTGGCGCATCCAAGATCTTGAAAGCATCAAAGATGCGGAGATCCAGCCGGTCTGCAACCAGGTTGAGGCACATGTTTTCTTGCAGCAGGTGGGCCTTCGCGAGTACTGCCGGAGGCGGAACATTGTGATGACATGCTATGGTGCACAAGCGCCAGTGGCTAGGCTTGAATGCTTAGATGAAGCCGCCCCTCTTTTGCAAGAGGCGTTGGCCAAATCGTGTGAACGGCATGGCAGGAATGTGGGCCAGATCCTTCTTCGTTGGGCCTACCAGAACGATCTAATCACCGTTACCACCAGCACCAAGATTGAAAGGATTCGGCAGTCCCTAGAAATCTTTGACTTTGAGCTGAGTCAAGAGGAGATTGGAGTGCGCCAAATCGGGCCAAACACCCAAGTATATATTTTTGTCAATTATTTTGGAGTATTTTCGAGTCAATTCTATGACATGAGTGCATGATCATGATTTTTAGACATTGCTGCTCGTATATGGTAGAGGCTAGGAGGTCAAGGAACCCTTGTGCTTTTCCGACAGCGGGACCCGTCCAGGAGATGCTTGCCCTCAGCCAAGCTGGGGCCAAGGCGCCGATGCGTCGCTTCTTTTGGCCGGACCTGCAACCTGGCTTCTGGGCCTCGGATCCAGCCAGCGAGATTGAGAGCCGGCCATGGGCGGAGATCGAGCCGTTGCTGAACCGTGCAACATGCTAAGCCAAGTGAGATAAAGATGGGACAGCATTTGGTGTCGTTCCTTCGTGAACAAGTGGAGATTTGGGCAAATCATGGTCCACCCAAGTCCGTAAATCGCACGACTTTACATCGACTTACATGGACCTTGATCTAGACTCTGTCATCCACGCACACCTAGGAACAAGGACAAGTTTAAATACTTTGCTTCGATGCACCAATGCTTTTTGACTTGCAATTTGTTGACCCTCGCATCATATCCGCATGCGCAAGTTCTTGGTGCCCAAAGAAGTTGGAAAGGAATGACATCTGAAGTGCCCCCAGTAGATAGCAGGGCTGTGACGGCCTTGCAATAGCCAGGGTTTGTAAGTCGTTGGAAGACCAGTTTGTGGAGCAGCTCACTTGGGGCTGCTCCGCGATTGTAGGCACTGCAGGTGCTCTACCACGAAGCCACGAGTTTAGGGACAGTCGGTTTGACGTGCGAGTGCAAGTCATGACAAGCGGACGCATTTTTGTACATATGCACACCCAGAAAGACACACGTAGACCTTTATCGGAAGCTTGGGCTGCCGCTGAGTGTCCATTTGCCGTTTTTCCTAGCTGCATCAAGCTGTACTGTAGCTTCTACATTTTGCAATTCATGCACTTTGCAGTGAGTTCGAAGGAACTTTACCGACCATGGACGCGAATACTGTATAAAGAGGAAGTCAGAATGCTTGTCCCAGGGGCTGAAGGAAAGCCCTCCTCAATTCTTCGCATGCTGTTATTGTTGCCACAAAGCCTGAAAGCTGTTTCTGCAACGTGTGGCAAAAACCTAACCTCGGAGGTCTTCTTCATGGTTTCAGCGTTGGCATCCATCCCCACCATTTTGGCTACTGCTTTGGTTTGGGCTGTGGGGCTTTTCCTGGACTTTGAGTTCGTCCCAGAGGCTGTTACATGGCAGCAGCCCTCATCATCCAGCCAGCGCAGCAATGTCATGTAATCATGTATCACTCTTTCAATGTGCGAATGCGTGAGAATAGAGAGCATGGGCGATAATATTGGTATTGTCCTTGAACCTACTAGTAGCTTCTTGTTCCTAGTAGAAATGCACCTTGTTACTAGTAGCGTCCTTGCCACTAGTAGCGATGCCCTTTGTTACTAGTAGCTTCTTGTTCCTAGTAGCGATGCCAGGAGCTATACTAGTAGCGTCCTTGCTCCTAGTAGCGATTACGTTATGCCAAGGCGTGGGGCTCAATTCTGTCGGCTGAGTTTGTTCCGCTCTTCGTCATTGGAATTGGCATCGGTGCCGTGGCTAGAACTTTCCACCATTTCCACTGGTGTCCTTCCTCTTGTTGTGACAGTGTCAGTCATACTGGCTCAATGCACTTAAGCTTATAGCCTCCCTTAAACTGGTGGAGCTGAAGAAGACACCCGGCCAGATAGCCATCTGACACTTGGTTTGTGTTGGGGGTTTCCATTGTTTGTTCCTTGTCCTGTTGCATTTGATACAGGTTGCCAGATTCATGATGCAGGTATATGGAATAACTAGCTCGCTGCATCAGGAAGCTCCAGCCAATCTATTTGGCTCCAAGGTTGGTGAAACGAAGCTTTGTTCCGCCTTCCTATATCACACGCACTAAGCACATGACATGATACAGCATGATACTATATTTGCTGCACTGCATTCGACATTTGATGGCACATCTGCGGCGCGAAGAACCTGTTTGTGTTGGGAAGAGTGGCAAAGTCAGCTTAGGGCTTAGGTAGGGTTTGCAAGCATGCGGATTTTGTGCTATATATATATAATATGTTTTTTTTGCTGTTTTGTGGTGGATTCTTGTTTGCTCGCTTCTTCATGCTCACTGGCTATCATGGCCCTGATGTATGACAAATTTACCACATTCAGGTGCAACCACACATCCTTGCTCTTCATGCCCCACAGCAACTTCACCTCGCGTCCCTCATAGAAGCGTCCCTTCCACTCAAGCGGTGGGAGTTGCACCATGACCACCGGGTTCACAATTGCGCAGTCCTGCTCGCGCACTTTGCGTTTCCGCTGCTTTGTCGCAACGGAATCCCCCACCTGAGACTCTTCCATCTCCATTTGTTCCTGGGCAGCTTTCACAGAAGCAGCTACCCTCATGTTCACTAAGTTGTCGAAGGCTGGGGTATTGGCATTGGCGGGTTCTTGCCCATGTTTGCTGGTGCTCGACATTGGCTTTGATAAGCAGAAGTGGACAAACCCACGGTCAAACTTGGACAGCTTGATGTAGGGCTCGTTCAATTTCATCACAGTGGTGGGTACCCAAGTTCTTTTGCGATCCTTGATGACCCAGCATTGCTCGATCTCGAAGGTCTCTTCAGTGGCATCTTCCTCACCCTCTCCCTCGAAGTCCTTCTCTGACCCACTGTCATGCTCTTGAGGCATGATGTGGCCGCTAGTTTGCCCAAGCTACAGGCGAAACCCTGCAGGCAAATGCTAGGCAAGCTTTCAAATCGTCGAGCACTGTGGCTGCACAAACACGACAAGTTGCGAGCTTGGTACAATCTTAGAGCCCTGCACCACACACACACAAGCACAGTGCGAGCAAGAAAGCCCTGCCACATGTGTCAGTTCAGTTCTGCAAGTTTTCAAGCTTGATTTCAACAAATCTCAACTCGTCTCAAGTGATGCGAGCGCACTGAAGAAAGTGTCAAAGCCCTGCATCACGACATACTTCTCAAGCAAACAAAAACTTCACTCTAGCCACCTCAGATGTCCTGAAGCCCCACCTACGACCTTGATTACACGTTAGCAAGTAACTTCCTTTTCCACATCAATCAAAAACGCGCATCAGCTATGCGGACGGGGCTTCAGAGTGGCAAGTGGGTTGCAATGCCATGACAACAAACACAATGTTTCAATATGAAGAAATACTCATTGTCAAAGACCTCATGGATGCAAACATCTCTTCATGGATCATCCACACTCAGCACTCTTTCCAGTCTTCCTTCGCTTAGTAGCTGGTGCACTTGTGGGCTTGGCAATTGGGATCAATGCCTCAGGCTCAGCGTCGGGAAGCTTCTCCACATACAGCATCAACGCATCCCCCTCCTTCAAAGCAACCGTGTTCTGCATGACGGGGATCTTCAAAGCATCAGAGCCGCCATGCTTCCATCCTTCTCAGGGCCAACAACCTGAGAGTGCAAGTACCACTCTTGGCCCTCAATCTCCCCCAGCGACAATCCAGCCTTGCTGGACTTCAAGCTCACCGCAGGTGTCGATGGTACCAGAGTCATTTTGCCCTTCTGGATGGGAGAGGTGACTTTCACATTTCGAGTTGGCTTGAGGACAATGGCCAAGTTTTTTTGGCACCCCCGGTGCTTCGACTCCAAGGCTAGAAGCGCTCCCATGATCTTGCCTTTGGTCACCATATTGAGCATGTCAGCATTCTCAAAGCCACAGTGATTGCTGAGTTGCTCAAACCCATATTCGAGAGATTCCACCTGGCGCTTGATGATTTTCCACTCATTGTGCAGAAAAGACTTGCAACTGAGCTGGAACAATCCTTCATCCAACTGCAGGACAACAGTGTCGCCTCCCATGGAACCGATAGTGGCTGCCAACTTGTCCTTGCGGCGTTGGATTGTTGAGCCAGGCTTGAATCCCATCTCCTTGACCAACTGGACTGAATCCGTCAAGTCACCTGGGGGTGCTGCAGACTTACACAAATCCAGCTTGGCCCTATGTCCATCCCAGCAGGCGCTGATGCGAACCGCGACAGTCATCTCCACTGCGTCCACCAAGTCCAGGGCAGCGCACTCCATGTCTGCCACAGCTGGTGGCCTTCTGTCCAGCGCGCAAAGGAGCACCGTGTCTTCAAACTTCCACACATGCGGCAGCACTGCCTCATACTTCGGGCCCTCTTCGCCCCCTTCTTTGTTGAGCAACTTCCTGACCTTGAGGATGAGCTTCTGACCATTCATAATGGGTTCTGCGAGTTGCGCACTATAGATCTTCTTGATGTCACTTGGGCCTAGTTTGTGTTTTTCTCCTCACAGCAGTATGCCATTGCCAGTGCACATTGTCGCAACACACTGAGCGCTTCCCCCTTTGTTTCCTTTGTTTCGCCGCTCAAGGACCTGAAAAAAGTCTGGTCCAAGGCTTCTTGTGAGTAAGCCTTCCATGATCAGCCGGCTGTTGATCGTCCAAATTTGACAACAAATTGATACATGAAAGGAGTCGCAGCACTGCATTGAGGTTTTGTGCGCTGGATCACCTTCTTGATTGCGTCCCAAGTTGAGTCCATCCCATCTACAGTAAATCGATCAAAGCCTTGATCCTGAGAAGCACCTGGAACTCCGACTCACCTCTGGCCACCTGGCTGGCCGTGTTGCCAGCCTCCTGCAAAAGGGCACAAACACCCGGCACTTCAGCAGCTGCTGCGGACACAACGGTCCACTCAACTCCGTGAGTCACTGCAGCGGCCATGTTTTTGTCAACGCCGTCCACCAAAATGCAACGACAGCTTCCCATTCACCACCACTGTTGAGCCTGCCTCCGTGTGTGGAGCCTCATGAGCAATGCAACGCAAGGCTGCGTTGAGGTGGGAACCTGAGACGGGATCCGTACTTCAGCAAGTGAGCATCCCAGGGTGGCAGTGATCCTCCAGAGTTCTTCACAATGTTGTCGCAGAAGGTGAACAGCTTTGACCGGTCATCAACCTCTACACAGACTGCACTGGTTTGGGTTACATCGAAGCCCACCTGTAGAACGCTCTCCAGCAGGTTGTGACAATCCTGCGGGCTCAGCCCAAACCCGTCGCGGTTGGCTGGGTGAGGTCCCACCGCATCTGGAAGTAATCGGGTGCGGTGGACGAGTTTGTGCTTCTGGAGCGTGAGCATTAGCTCCTTATGTGCAACCATCACTTGGTCCATCTTCAGCGGACGCAAGATTGATGCCCGTGCGAGCCAGAGTTGGAGCCCTGCACTGTGCACAAAAGCCACTCTCTCAGCCAAAAAACACAAAGGCGCAGGACAGGAGCCACAATCAATCTTTGGCACCAATTAAACTCATGATTCAAGCACATGCGAGCTGTGCATGAACACATGGCCCTGCAAGTGCAAGCAACTCATGATGACAAATGCGAGCCACGCACAGGTGGCCCTGCAAAAGATACCCAAACATTGAAACCATGTTGAACTCGTTACTATAGTCTCAAATTCATCACTTCCTCATCGATGATCTTGCAGGCCCCGCCTCTACCAGCGCTGCTCTGGGATGCCCACCCCGGCGCAACGTGTGTCCCACACGTCGCAAGATATTTCTAAAATAGCTGACTGGCAAGTGAACGTGTTTGTGTCAACTGTCAAGTACACTTAAAAGTGCTAAACAATGGCATCACAAAAGGAATCCTTTCAGAGGCTGCAGCGTTTCAAGGAACACAACCAAATCTAGAAACACTCTTGCACTGCAATGTCGGTGCCGTTCAACTGAAGTCTCAACTGGTGCAAAGACATCTCTACCTCTGGAAAGAAAGCACACGCTCAGCTGGTTTTTTCTTTCCGATGAACCCTGCTCATATGAAAGCACAAGAAAAATCACATACACTGATTGCATGCAACTGGCAAGAACCAAAAACACACAGGTAACAAACTGTCACAAAATGCACACGTCAAAAAATCACAAAATGCATACGTCAAAATGCACATCATTAACGGTCACAGTTACAAAACACAAAAATTTGCGCTTTGCGGCTCTAGAAAAAATGCTTGTACGAAAAACATGAGTTTTTTTCAAAGCAATGTGGCCAGTTAGTAAACTAGTTTGCGCTGGTTTGCAACCTGCTTATAAACTGTCCAACCGTGTGTGGCTATTCCCGCTAACCTTGTTGGTCTCAGGCATCATTTTCTTTAACTTGCTTGCGCCTGTTTGGCGCACATGCATAACCAATTTACGAAAAGCTTGGAAATTAGTATCCACGTTTGGCTACATGTTAACATTTAATACTTTGTCGCGACAAAGTAATAAGTTGACCAACACCAATGGCCATGGTGGCTTCGATAGAAACCGGCCACACATATGTTGGCAAGCATATAACATAGCTTGCCGAAGTTGTTAACCTACTATATAAATAGCTAAGTAGACAGAAAAATTAGAACCAGGTATGGTCATCCAAGCGGAACCTATTTGACCCTAATTCGACTCACTGTTCTCACTATGTCTCACTGATTGCACCTGATAAAGTGCTGGCGTCACAGTGATACGCAATGTTTGCTTGTAACTTGACACCGCTGAAGCCAAGGCCTGGTGTTGTCAAATTGGATGCTTGGAAATGCTCTTTTTTTGGGAGGGGTCATCTTGCACGATGGGAAATTGTAGTCGGCACCAACATTTCTTTGCACTAAAGCCCCATGAGTGGTGACTTGTCCCATGTTTGGAGCGCTTTGGTGTGAGTTTTGACGGCTACATTGTTCACGAACACAACTTAAGAACTTTTAATTTCGCGCATCAGTCTTCTTTTGGCTCTCACAAGCTCATAACCAAATTGAATTTTCCAGCGAGGAGAGGCCCGCTTGAACCTTGCACCAAGGATCCTTGAGTTTTTGGACCTACAAAATCCCGAGGTTCTCGTGGGAACTTGCCCGTCGTGCAACCGAGCGCAGCTAAAAGTTGACGATTCCTTGAAGACATGGCAAAGTGACAGAGGCATTGGCCTTCCTTTTCGAAAGCTGAGGCAATTCACCTATCAAATTGTTTTCGGGCGGAGTGGCTGGGCCGGAGTTCGAGCTAAAGTGGAAATATTTTGTGCCGGTCGAGCCTTGCTGATTGACGTGGGTTCAAACTCCTGACACGGCACGGGCCCTCTTTGGCCCAAAAATTGTGGGGCTTCTGCTAGCTCAGGCAGCTCCGCAAAAGAATGTGAATTACTCCTGTGCCGAGCCACCCTGCTGAAAATGAGAAAGCCCACACAGGGTACATAGCTGAACTTGTGGGCCAAGCATGGGTCATGCAAGCCTGGAACACGGAGAGCCTTCACTGTTCATCAGCAAGCAATCTTCAAGCATTCAAGATCATTGAAAGGGAAAGGATTGAATGAAGAGACAGAAAACAGGACAAGAGTCCGTACAAGACCCTTGAAACAGGTTTTCTGTTGTGTGGAGCTGTGCCATGCTGTGCCTGCTGGGTTGCCCTTCCTAGGTGTGGTTGCAAGATGGTGCTAGATACCCAGGAACGTCAGATCACCATGGCGGGTGCCAGTGCGGATGATGTCAGAGACACATCCTCCTTCGATTGGAAGAAGGCTTGGGAGGAGCTCCAACGGTGCGGTGAAGCATCCAGCTTGAAGAACGGTTTCAGCCTTGTGGATGCAAACATCTGCAGAGATTTTTTTCCATGATATTGGGTTCCACAAATCCGAGACCCCCCTTGCAACGCTTAAACGGATTGATGGCTCGCTCCCCAAAATATACACTTTACGGAGACATGTCATGCAGCGATTTGCATCTCCCACCACGCCTGGCGAGAGATGAATCAATGGACCACTTTGTCAATAGGCCACATCCGTAGTGGGTACGATCATCAAGGTAGCGTACCGGCAATGTCGTACGTATGTCAAGATAAAACAAATGATAAAACACTGGCAAGCCACAACAGGTTTTGACATGTTTTCAAAGTATATATATATATATATCTAAGGGCTGCCGCCCAGCCCAGTGCCGCCGACCCCAGGAAGGGAGACAAAAGAGGTGTGGGGCGGACAGAAGGCATGGTGACGAGTGGGTGGTAGGGCAGAACACATGGGGACTCCGCGGCATGCTGCATCGGCTACGTGGAATCCCCAATGTGAGGAGATATTAAAGGGTGTGGGGCAGACAGAGGGCATGGTGACTCCACGGTGTGCTGCGTCGGCTACGTGGAACCCCCATGTGGATGTTAAGGGGCTGGAGGACGCAGCAGGTTCGGGGCCATGGCAGTGTAGACCGGGTAGCAAGAGGGATGAAGTGGGAGACAAAAGGAATGGTCCCCATGTGGTTGTTACTCGGGGTGGCAGTGGGACATGGCACCAGTATAGGGCGCAGGCAAGAGACGAGGTAGGTGGTAGGGCAGAACACATGGTGACTCCACGGCGTGCTGCATCGGCTCTTAGAATCCCCAATGTGAGGAGGGGGCAGGGATAGGGTAAGCGTTAGAGATATTGAAGGCTGTGGGGCAGACAGTGGGGCCAGTAGAGGGTGCAGGCAAGAGACGAGGTGGGTGGTAGGGCAGAACACATGGTGGCTTCACGGCGTGCTGCATCGGCTACGTGGAATCCCCAGGAGGGGGCAGGGATGGGGTAAGCATTATAGAGATATTGAAGGGTGTGGGGCAGACAGTGGGGCCAGTAGAGGGTGCAGGCAAGAGATGATGTAGGTGGTAGGGCAGAACACATGGTGACTCCACGGCGTGGGGTAAGCATTATATAGAGATATTGAAGGGTGTGGGGCAGACAGTGGGCCAGTAGAGGGTGCAGGAAAGAGATGAGGTAGGAGGTAGGGCAGAACACATGGTGACTCCACGGAGTGCTGCGTCGGTTACGTGGAATCCCCAATGTGAGAAGTGGGCAGGGATGGGCATTAGAGATATTAAAGGGTGTGGGGCAGACAGGGCATGGTGACTCCAAGGTGTTCTGCATCGGCTGTGGGGCTGGAGGACGCAGCAGGGCCAAACGTCACTTCTGAACCGAAAAAATCAAGGTTCTGGCAGGCAATTCCACTGTTCCAGGCAAAGAAACCAAGCCACAAGACACCCTTCGAATCAGGAAAACACCCTGGCACGGCGTGACGAAACAGCCTCCTGCCGTCCCCCCAAACGTCATTCCTGAACCGAAAGAAAAAATCAAGGTTCTGGCAGGCAATTCCACTGTTCCAGGCACGGAAGCCAAGCCACGAGACACCCTACGAATCAGGAACCGAATGAAAAAATCAAGGTTCTGTTCGGCAATTCCACTTTTCCAGGCACAGAAACCAAGCCACAAGACACCCTTCGAATCGGGAAAACATCTTGGCACGGCGTGACGAAACAGCCTCCTGCCGTCCCTCTGCCCACGCCAAACGTCACTCTTGAGCCGAATGAAAAAATTCAAGGTTCTGGCAGGCAATTCCAATGTTCCAGGCACACAAACCAAGCCGCAAGACACCCTCCGAATCAGGAAAACACCTTGGCACGGCGTGACGGAACAGCCTTCTGCCGTCCCTCTGCCCGGCCAAACGTCACTCCTGAACCGAATGAAAAAATTCAAGGTCACGCACACAAACCAAGCCGCAAGACACCCTCCGAATCAGGCAAACACCTTGGCACGGCGTGACGGAACAGCCTCCTGCCATCCCTTTGCCCGGGCCAATTCACTCTTGAACCGAATGAGAAATCAGTCAAGGTTCTGGCAGGCAATTCCACTGTTCCAGCCAGAAACCAAGCCACAAGACACCCTTCAAATCAGGCAAACACCCTGGCACGGCGTGACGAAACAGCCTCCTGCCGTTCCTCTGCCCGAGCCAAACGTCACTCCTGAACCGAATGAAAAAATCAATTTTTCCAGCACAGAAACCAAGCCACAAGACACCCTTCAAATCAGGAAAACACCCTGGCACGGCGTGACGAAACAGCCTCCTGCCGTCCCTTTGCCCGGGCCAAACGTCACTCCTGAACCGAAGGAATAAATCAAGGTTCTGGCAGGCAATTCCACTGTTCCAGGAACAGAAACGAAGCCACAAGACCCCGTTCGAATCAGGAAAACACCCTGGCACGGCGTGACGAAACAGCCTCCTGCCATCCCTCTGCCCGGGCCAAACGTCAGTCCTGAACCGAATGAAACAATCAAGGTTCTGGCAAGCAATTCCACTGTTCCAGGCACAGAAACCAAGCCACAAGACACCCTTCAAATCAGGAAAACACCCTGGCACAGCATGATGGAACAGCCTTCTGCCGTCCCTCTGCCCGGGCCAACCGTCGCTCCTGAACCGAATGAAAAAATCAAGCAGGCAATTCCACTGTTCCAGGCACAGAAACGAAGCCACAAGACGCCCCTTCAAATCAGGAAAACACCCTGGCACGGCGTGATGGAATAGCTTCCTGCCGTCCCTCTCCCGGGGCCAAACGTCATTCCTGAACCGAATGACGTTCTGGCAGGCAATTCCACTGTTCCAGGCACAGAAACCAAGCCACAAGACATTCGACTGCCCGGCCAAAGGTCACTCCTGAACCGAATGACCAAATCAAAGTTCTGGCAGGCAATTCCACGTTCCAGGCACAGAAACCAAGCCACAAGACACCCTTCGAATCAGGAAAACACACTGGCACGGCGTGACGAAACAGCCTCCTGCCGTCCCGCTGCCCGGGCCAAACGTCACTCCTGAAACGAATGAAAAATTCAAGGTTCTGGCAGGCAATTCCACTGTTCCAGGCACAGAAACCTAGCCACAACACCCTTCGAATCAGGAAAACACCCTGGCACGGCGTGACAAAACAGCCTCCTGCCGTCCCTCTGCCCGGGCCAAACATCACTCCTGAACCGAATGAAAAAATCAAGGTTCTGGCAAGCAATTCCACTAGAAACCAAGCCACAAGACACCCTACGAATCAAGAAAGCACCCTCCTCCTGCCGTCCCTCTGCCCGGGCCAAACGTCCCTCTGCCCGGGCCAAACGTCACTCCTGAGCCGAATGAAAAAATGAAGGTTCTGGCAGGCAATTCCACTATTCCAGGCACAGAAACCAAGCCACAAGACACCCACCCAAAATTTCGCAGCACATTGCTGCCCAACCTCACAGAACAGCACCACTGGCCTCTGCCCGGGCCAAACGTCACTTGAACCGAATGAAAAAATCAAGGTTCTGGCAGGAATTCCACTGTTGCAGCCACAGAGCTCCACAGTCCCGGGATCTCGGTAGGCAATTCCACTGTTGCAGGTACAGAGTTCCACTGTTCCAGGCGCAGAAACCTGTGCACCGAGCACCAAGGACACTTCGGGGTGGGATCTCTAGATAAAGAAGCAGTACTGTAGCCCACCTCATGCCCACAACTGATACAACGAAACATACCATTTCGGGGCGCGCTCCCCTTGCTGCACCACGGGGTCGGCGGATAGTATACCTTGCCATAACGTTCCACCTAGTTTCCCGACGCAACCTGTTGCAAGTCGCAACGATGAACCCACCTCAGTTTCCACAAAATGTTCCCACTTGGTCTTGGGAACACAGGGGGCAAGTGCCAAGTTCGGCCAAAAGACTTGCCAGAACCGAAGGTGAAGGTCAAGAGATTGTATTTGAGATGCCTAGGCTGCAGCAAATGCACAAAAAACACGCAGCACAAGGTTCATCAAAGCAATCATTCCCTGCGGCTTTCTGCAGTTGTTGGAGGCTTTCAATGAAGTGCCCTTGGAAAGCTGCTCCTTTAGCCTATGGGTGCAGCTAGGGTGATTCCGCCGCTTTGTCAGGACGTGAAATTTGCTGCTAAGCGATCCGCAAAGGCTGCACAAAGCTTGGCCAGGTGTGGACTTCTGACGGGTTCAGTTCTAGTTTCTTGCTACTACTAGCGATACCCTTGTTACTAGTAGCGATGCCAGGAGCTACTAGTAGCGTGCTTGTTCCTAGTAGCGGCCTCCAACCCCCAGACTGGGCCTGGGAGCGCCTTTTTGATTGGAAGTGACGAATTCCCTAGCAGGTCATGATTTCTTCCACGCCAAGAAGGCCTGAAAAGCAAGGGCTGACGTCAGTTTCTCCCTGCCCTCCCAAATGTGGCGGGCTGTGAGGCCGAGGAAGGTAGCAATTTCATGCAATTTTCAATGATTTTCTTAATGTCAGAAATGTGCTTCGGTTGTTCTGGCACGAGCCATCTGTGAGTTGGGTTGCACGCCGGAAGAAGAGAGCCGAGAGAAAGTGGACGATGGCGCCGCTGCGTGAAGGGATGCTGAGCTGCAAGGTCAAACCACACATTTCAATTGAATTTGAAGCTAAGCAGGCATCACCGTCTTAAGAATTCTTAGACGCCCCTTGTTACCATAGGAACCTTTTGCGTTATGTCATGTCTGAATCCTTCAAACGAGTGCGCATACAATACGAAGATCAAGACGAGAACTGGACGTATGTGTGGAACGCTGGTGGGCCCAGTAGGAGGCATGGATCCGAAGGGAGCCCGGCCGCC